TGGCCTTGCCATCGCATCTTGAGTCACACTGTTTCCGGGCCAAAATTTCCCAGGAGAGCACAGTACTATACAATGACATCCTTGACGTGCAGCCTTGATAATAATAGTATCGCCTAAAGAGGCTCTGCCACTGTATGGCGCTTGGTAAGTTCACTTGAATCCAACCAATCCCATCATAGTGAACACTCTTACCTTGTGGTATTCTAAATAGCATCTTTGCCTCAAATAGAAACCGTATATCCATGCCATCCAGTAGGTGCTGCTGCTGTTTCATTGCAAGGCTCGTTAATTAACAGGCTTTGCTTTGTACATCCAATGCCATCCATGCATACCATTGAGCCAACGTACAGTGTTCTTGCTTTGATATTAATGTCTTTTGTTGCTGCCACAGGTACCATAAGCCAACGTATTCAAGCTACAGTAAATACAATGTAAGTTAACAAGGATAGCATTCGCTTTTCATGTCGACATACCCAAAGTAACAATGTGTTGGGACGTCTCCTTGATGGCAACCATGAATAGAACACACACGACACACGACGCCCCCTTTGGATCTTGAATAAACGAGAGAACAGCAAACTACACGTGAACTTTAGAACCACAATGTCCAACTTGAATAATAAAGGAATGCAGCGATGGAACGTACATGTTGTATTGCAATGGAAGCTTGAGTCATGGGCCGATCGCGCGCGTACTTCTTGTTGAATGTATGCAACTGGGAAGTGTCGCCATTGACCACACGTGCACGCCAATGAACGCTGTACATTGTAAGGAAATGCCAGCAATTAACGCGTTGTAGTTTGTAAATGGAGACAAGCTTACCTTTTTTGTGAAGTGGAAGTGAAGAAGAGTGGTCTCTTTGTTCCTCCTGTTCGCTCCAATTCGTGCACTCCATGCCACCCCGCTTGCTACAGCTATTACTGTTTATACGTACCCTCCACAATATCCTATGCTTTTAGCTCCATAAGAATGATCACTGCTCAAGACTTCAATTGAGAACAGCCCTCGTAATTAAGCTATTAGGTCTGTGCGCAATCACATCGATCGATTAGTTATGCAGCTTCACCCCTGGACCAACTTGTGTAACCTACTGTGTAACCTATGATATCTCGCTTTCCACCTTTCACGTTTGCAGTTCCCCTTTCAATGCAGAAAACAACCAAGTGATCCACCTCTTGCACATCTAAGCTGATCGTACGATACCCAAAGTATTATGTTGAATCCAATTTTCATTCAATAAAAGGTCGAAGAACACGTAGACACGGTATTGTGGACGATGATGTTGTACGTACATGATACATAAGGGAACAATATAGCCAAATTGAATAGGGTACATATGGGCGAAACATAGAGTCATTAGGGATAATTGTGTCATCCTATACTTGATTGCTGTCGTCATGATCACCCTTCATCCATGATTGCAAGATAGGTGTTGTATGCTTTGGCTCGAGTATTATTCCAGTATCATCCATAGCTGTGAAACACCTCCTTTCGTCAAAGATACAAGCCCTCTCCTCAATGCCATCCGAACCATCCTCCTCCTCAGCCGTATGCATAAGGTATGATCCATCGTTCCTATTGATGACGCGCCAAGCAACCAAACCAACATTCCAAGACTTCTCATCACTGCACTTGATCGCATCCTTCCATCCATAACCATTGTAAACCCAATATTGCGGCTGACATGCTTCCTTTTCCACCCAGCTGTTGGTCAATCCCTTTCTTGGTCGTTTTCCATCGCAGCTCAACCAGCTAAAGGTTACTTGTATTGTGGCGTAGTTGATGGCTGATAGCGCGTCAACCAAAATAGACATCACGTTCCAAATGGGCCAAGGGAACCAAACCAGACAATGTATACACTTCCATCCATCCCCATATAGCAAACCAATATTCAGATCCTTATTCATATTAACAAGAAGTCTTATGTATTGAACAGAGTTGCTACTCGTAAATAAAGCTGCTTCTATATAATGACTATCGGCTATCCACGTGACAAGGCTGTAAGGCAGGTTGCTGCAAGTAAAGAACGTTGTTTGATACAATGGAGTAAAGACCTTGCTAATAGCAATTGCTGCAATGAATGCTTCTACGATTGGTGGTGGTAAAGGAGTGTGCAAGAGCGTGTGTTGTGTCAAAGAGACTCGTGTGTTGTAGAAGAGTGACAAGAAGGCTGCGAACACACCATTCAGTCAAAGACAATCGGAACACGATAATTGTAGGATCGACATGATGGGTTGAGGTATACCGAATGGTAGTTGTAATTGAATGGGAAAGCAGTTGCCAATGAGGAGGTTACCAATGTAGGAGAGAAAGAAGCGAGTGGCGGAAGAGCTGGCCCTCGTTCCAGCATTTACTGGACCTGATTTTGATGCATCTGGGACCTAGAGAATTATATTACTTGAACCCTTCTAGTCATAAACCTCCTAGTCAAATGTTTTATTGGGGCCTAGTCACTCCAACTATCTAGATCCTACATAATCATGAGACTTGAGTCATTCAAATTCCTCCTCTGACCGATAATTAATACTTGGTAATCAACATTTTTCATGTAGCTTCTTATGTACTTGAAATAGGTGTGGTATAAAGTCGTCAAAGATCCTAGTTGTAGTACTTACTAGAGCTTAGCTTTCTCTAACTATGTAGAGCCCAAGATACTCATACGACTGGATCATCCATCCCCATCCCCAATCCTCCGACCAATAAATGATCACTCATCCTTCAACTCTAAATTACACAACATTGACCTTCCCTATTTCTCCATTGGTTTTACCATTGTGATCCACGTTTAATCCGCTGCACTATAATGCAAATTTCATCTCAATTGGACCACTTTTTTGATTTTCGCAAAAGGAAGCTCTTTGGAACTTCATGTAACTTCCGAAACAAAGAAAACCAATCTAGTCACAATACTTACTAGAGCCTAGTTACATCCAACTATGTAGAGATCAAGTTACTCATAAGACTTGATCACCACCCATCCTCCTACCAATGATTGATCTTTCATCCTTCAACTCAAAATTACACAACATTGACCTCCCATATCCATACATTGCTTTTATCATCATAATCTACGTTTAATCCGCTGCATCACGGTACAATTTTCATCCCAATTGGACTACTTTTTTGGTTTTCGCAAAAGGAAGCTCTTGGATACTTCATGTAACTTCCGAAACAAAGAAAACCAAGGTTCCATAGCACAAATGGCAGTGCATCCGACTCCAGATCGGAAGGTTGGGCGTTCGAGTCGCTCTGGGGCCAACCCTTTTTATGCCCGGGACAAGTTTTATTTATGGGTGGGCTAGGATTTGGGTGTGTCGCAGCAACATACCAGATCTTCTTGATCGGTATTATCTTTTTATACATCTTTATCATCTTATCTCCTTTATGCTGCGCCCTCCATCATTACTTCGCCACATCCATATTACTTAGCCATCTTGATATACTTAGCCCCATCCAACAATTATAAATAGTGGACCATCTCATAGAATAAAACATTATCTTACGTTCTCTTTACTTTATTGTCTATTTGCCTGTGTGGCACTATTCTCCTTCGTGGTCCTATTCCTGTGTGGTCTTATTCCTTCGTGGTCCTATTCCTGTGTGGTCTATCTATCCTTCGTGGTCATTATCTCCTTCGTGGAAGTCGTCTATTATCCTGTGTGGATCCAAAAAGAAAGACGACAGGTGTTGTGGGATGTTTTTTTTTTGTTGGTGTGAGGGTTTATTAAAAGGTTAGAGATGACTGGATGGTAGCAACGAAAATAAAGGGACTTGGAGTCACCTAGGCAATGCAAACATTGAAGAAAGGACATCAATGGATCATGCATCCATCATGATTAATAATGATGATGGGTCCTTTATTCATGCAGCCATGAACATTATTGCATGCAAAATACGATATTCATCTATCAACCTAATTCTGTACTATCAATCCATATGAGGATGGCAATTAGTCAGGCCCACCATTTGCTATTCAATGTGTGTTTATATGTAGGCTCCAGCTTGTGGGGCTCTATGCAGCCAATTGTAGTTCCTTGCTCCTCACAATTCAGAGTAAATGCTTATAACGTATGCTTGCATGCCTATTCACTTACAAGCTCATTCATTTCAAAGAAAGTGAAGCGTTATTTCATGCAATACATCACACTGTGGATCACTCTCGAGCCTTCTCGTATACTAATAGAGCTATTGCAGATATAAAAGTGACACCAAGGTGTTTGTCAAATCTCAATCACGGCACCAATATCGAGCTGCGACTATTTCAAATGTCATTATTGGTAAGAGCCAAGACCCCAACATATCCGATCATCATCATAATTCAGCTACAAATAAATGAATTTTGCAACTTGAAAGCCATAAAAAGGACATGGCAAGGTTATTATGCAAAGCTAACAGCAAATGCTATCCACACTGATCATGATGCATGTACCTTATACAAAATAGCGGGGGCAAAACAGCTGCCCCTGATGATCATTATTGTTCTTCCCTTTCCCTTGCAGCATCCAGGCACGTTGCATAGCAACAACATGACCATGGATACGGCGGCTACCGACGACGACAACACTATTCAACAGCAGTCGACTGGGAGTGTTACCAGCAGCACCTACTCTGTCACACCTGTAGATTCGCTGCACCAAAAGGAAAACAAAGAGCCAAATTCACTTGACGAAGAAGATACCGAAACAATACGAGAATCCTTATCAGAGGGGATACGCAATCCAGGGTGGCTGACAGTGCTTGGTACCTTTATAATCAACTTTTATACATGGGGTGTGTTGGTAAGCTGGGGCATCTTTCAAGTGCTGTAAGTACTAGGTCAATGAAATGTTGTAATTAGAGAAAGAAAGCTCATAGGATAATTATCATCATAGATATTTGGATGTCTATGCAGGACAAACGGACGAGTTTCGAATTGCATTTGTTGGAACGTCAGCGAGTGCCATTGTACTTGGCATGGGTCTTGTATCGCCATGGTTGGTACGTTATCTTGGTTTTCGAGGAATGGTCGCTATTGGAGCCGTACTATGTCCTTTGAGCATGGTCCTAGCAAGTTTTGCAAACGAATTATGGATGTTGTATGGTACACAAGGGGCCATGCTAGGTATTGGTGTAGGGTTGTGCTACACAGGATCATCCACATTGCCATCATACTACTTTAAACGATTACGTGCATTTGCTACAGGAATTGCAGCAAGCGGCACATGTCTCGGTCCAATGGTTTTTTCACCCGTTATCGAGACCCTCATACTTCATCTCGGTTATCGAAACGCTTTGCGTGTGCTCGGTGGTATCGGCATTGTGCTCACTGGTGCTGGTACTATTCTGATCCGCACACGCGGAATCTCATTACACGCTGATCAACAGCAACAAGACCAACAAAAGACCTTTGACGATCGATCCAACAACACCAACATGTTCAATTGGTCCTATAATTTTTACTTGTTGCATTCATTTCTTGCACCATTTGGCTATGTTGCACCCATATTCCTTTCACCATCCTATGCATCAGCCATTGGGGCTAGTCCAGAGTTGGCATCCTTGTGTTTATCTATTGTGGAAGGTGCTAATGGTGTAGCACGCATCCTATTTGGGTGGTTGGGAGATCATGGCTGTGGGCGGATGAATGTTGTCATTGCTACAACGTTTGCATCAGGTAAATGGAATGATAACTTTATATTACGTATGGCTGATAATGGTAAACAAGGGGTGTTTACAATGACACTATGGCAAGAAGCAAATACAGTGCCAGTATACATGGCGTATCTTGTACTATTTGGGCTTACGAGCGGTGTATTTTCAGGGCTGCAGCCTGTGATTGCAGCTGAACTAGTTGGATATGAGCGAATTCAGCAAGGAGTTGGATTATCCTATTTCTTATCCATGTTTGGGCATCTCTTTGGTACCAGCATTGTGGGTATGCTGCATCTTGATACAGGTGCATGGTTGGCACCCATTCTCTTTGCTGGCACAATGACCCTTGCAGCAGCCTTTGCAGTTTTAATCACTCGTATTCTCATTTGCAGACGTGTATTCGTGAGACTATAATAAACGATTTGGCAGTCGTAGTAGCATGAAAAAACAACCTTATCTCCTTCGTGTTACATTAACAAAAGACATCACATCACACATTTTGCTCCTTTTCTTCTTTGCATATTCCCGCCACTATCATTTTATCAAATGTCAAGCAATACCAGTAGAACTTCGTCAACTGCATCCAAACGACGTTCGACACTGGCAGAACTCGGTATTCAACCCGCGTCGCCAACCCCCACCAGCAACAAGGCTTCTTCAACTCAATCTTCTACTACTGGTGTTAATCGACGAGCTAGCATTACAGGGACTCGTGCTTCAAAGACACCAGGCACAACACGACCACGTCCATTGTCCATGGTGGGCACTTCTTCTGCAGCCGCACAACAAAAACCCCCATTGTCTCCCACTGTTCAACGATCCACGAGTAATTCAGTGACACGATCAGCATCGACAACTCGAAAAACACCAGCTGCCATCAACACTGCGAGAGCAGCAGCCTCTCGAGCCACAGCAACACCTTCACCCACAGCTGCCACTGCTGCCAAGCGACGTTCAGTAGTAGGCACATCATCCACTCAACCACCAACAACCCCTGTTCCTCGAGCAAGAGCATCCACTATTAGCAAGCAACGTTCTTCTACACCACCCTCAACTGCTGCTGCTGCCTCTCCTTCACCCTCCAGCTCAGCTATCGTGGCTAAGGAGCAACAGATCAAGGAGCTTGAGAAAATGGCAAAGTATCCAATGAAAAAAGGGTCATGTGATTTTCATTGTTTGATGTTAATACATTGTTTTATCATTATAGCTTGCCGATAAGGAAAAGCAGTTGGAGAGCAAGGAACAATTGATCCAAGAGATGCAAGCTAAGATGGCTGATTTGTCAGAATCAGAAAAGTCTTTTGATCCTACTACGCCCATGTTGTCATCATCTTCGATGCTTATTCCATGCGACTCCTCAGTTGATTCTGAAAAAGAAGTCAAGCTCGATATGGACAAGCTTAAAAATCAGGTAAGTGCACAGACCTTTATTGCATGAATTTGACTAATGCATCCAAAATGTTTCACATTCTAGTATCAGTCGGAAATCGATAGTGTCCGCCAACAGCTGAAAGAAGCTCACGATGAAAGATCAGCAACGGTAAGTGCAAATAGGATCACATTGTCCCAATACGAGCTAATACTAATTCAAATAGATTCAGGATACCACAGCAGCAGAGGTGAGGAAAGAACGGACATCCATCCAGCTTATGCATACCATTGTCGACTCATTGCCCGTGGAAAAGGAGCTACGTGATACAACCCATGAGGATCTTGATGCTCGTTACAAGAAGGAGATGGAACAATTGAACCAGCAGCATGAGCAAAGGCTCAAGGATGAGATGCAACGTTTGATAGCCGAGCATGAGGAGAAGATCAATTCACTCACAAAGGATCAAGAACAAAAAGCTGAATCGTTGACGAATGACCACGAGCGCAAAGTTGAGACATTGATTAAGGAGCATGAAACTCGTCTTGATCAAGCACAAAAGGATCACCAGGTAGGAAAGGATGATGCTTTAAAAGATGTGAGTGTTGATTGAGGTTACATACAATAGGAGAAATTGCAGGTTGTCTTGGATGAAAAGAAGGCGGTTGAGCAACGACTCGCTGATCTTGAAAAGGCCATGGAAGATTCGAATAGTCTCAGCCATTTGCGACGACTCGAGAGACAATTGAGCGACACCCAGAATGAGTTTGATGAGTACAAACGGCAAATGCAACAATCAGCTGAGGCGACCGAACGACGCTATCGAGAGGAAATGCAACAATTGCAGAGTGGCAATGATGATACGGCTGAAGCATGGCTTGATAAACATCGTGCTGCACAACAAGAAATCAGTCGACTGCAAACTGTGATTCAGGATATGCAACGTGACCATGCACAAGCTCTTGAAGAACAACGTGAGCAACATGAAATTGCACTTGAGGAATGGATGGCCAAGAGCGAAGCACAAGAGAACGAGATGGATAACCAGGCTCAGCAGGTCACATCCTTGTTGACTCAGGTTGAGGATTTGCAAAGTTCACTTGAGGCAGCTACAGCACGTTTGGAACAGCGGACATCATCCCGAAAGGCATCTAGTGAGAACATGCTACTACAACAATCAGGAGGAGATCATCGTACATGCGAGGAAAAGTTACAAGCACGTCAACGAGAGATTGAAGAGTTACATCGACGCGTTGCTGAATTACAAGAAACACGTGATACTCAGCTTAATCGCTTGGGACATGAAAAGGCACGAGAGCTTCAGGAATTGAGAGATGAGATCAAGTCAACCAAAGAACAGCTTCACGCTGCACAGAGCACTGATGATGTAAGTATCATCGTAAATGTATGCTAGTGCTCTTGCTAATGCTTGCATATAGAAACGTCTCTTGGAAGCTGTAGAGCAACACAAAAAGGAGCTTCAAGTTTTGCATCAACAATATCAAAAGATGGTGGATCTCAAGGATCATGAATTGGAAGAGTATGCCTATCGTGTCAAAACCATCACAGCTGGTAAAATGAAGGAAATGGAAGATGTGCGTACAGAGCATCGAGAAAAGATCAAGGATTTTGAAACCAGGATTGAGGATTATCAAGTAAGCCATATACATAATTACATGGATGATGAATCATGCTCACACTCTTTATTATAGAAACGCATACAACAATTCGAGCAACAAGCTGATGAGCTATTAACGAAATGCGCTTCGTACCAGGATGAGAATAGTCAACTTGCAAAGTAAGCAATCATGCACCAATCCTTTTTTCATCTCTCTCTAAACCATTCTATTCCAATAGACTCCTTCAGCAATTGCAAGGCGAGCTTCATGGAGGACAAGCCTAAATGACCCCATTCCATTCCCCAACTTTGTTATCCCCCCCATTTGAAGATAGATACCAGCCATGGATATCAGCTTTTTTATAATACACTTACACCTTATCCCTCTTTCATAACTCATATTGTTGTTGATGCATTTCTCGTTGCCTAATTCCAATGATCGAGACGCTCTTTCCCAAATCCACAAAAAGTTCTCGAAACGTTGAATGGTGATGAATAAAAAGCAATCGTCGATGGGTGGTGTGTTTATTTATGATCTGGGCTTCTCCTTCTTTTCCTTGTACAAGGCGAGAAGAGAGACACCGGCAACCTTGACAACCTTGAAACGGACACCAGGAATATCACCAACGGCACGACCCTTACGACCGAAACCGGCAATCAAGACTTCGTCGTTTTCATCAACGTAGTTCAAACAACCGTCGTTGGGAACGAAAGCAGTGATCTTCTTGCCGTTCTTGATAAGTTGGACACGGACACACTTACGAATGGCAGAGTTGGGCTGCTTAGCTTCGACACCACTATTGTATAAATATCATTGTCAACATTGTCCTCATCCAATAGAGAGAAACCGATCGAGTTGCCTTACATCTTTTCAAGGACGATACCCTTAGCGTGGGAGGAGCCAGCGAAAGGAGAAGACTTGAAAGCGGTACCAATGGCACGCTTCTTGTACTGCTTGTCAGCCCAGCGTTGCTCACGACGGTGAACACGAAGCTTACGGGCGGCATTCAAACCTCTTGGTTGTCCTTTACCTACATGACAGCAAGTTGTTGTATGAGTATCCAAGTAGGTCCAATCCATCCACCCATCCATCCATCCATTCATCTGTATCCATCCGTATTCATCGATTCATTTTCTCGTTACAGCCGCTCTCCCATCTTTGATATCAGCATTCATTGCTACTACTGCTAATAGTACGTACCCATGGCGAATGGATTTAATCAGAAAGGGAAAGCTACTGCTCGCTCAATTGCAGCTGATCATTACCCAGCGGACCCAGCAACCCCGCATTTTGAATGGCCGATCAAGTATGTGTGCATTGACCCACCCATCTTTGTTTCCATAGCAACCATTACATAGACAATTCTCTGGTATATTTGAGATCATGATACAATAAAGATAGATAGGGTAGTAGTGTGAATGATACATAAGATCGAATTACTCTGCCTTGCTCTTATCCTGCTGCTGCTGATCCAATCGAGCAAACAAGTCGCGTCCCAAAGCAACCATAATCATCCCAGGGACAAGAATCCATGCACCATTAGGAATCTATTATTGTATAGACATCAGCAACGTGTGATATCGTACAAAGATCCCATTCCCACTTACCACCCAAAGAACGATAAAATCACGCAATTCATTGTGTCCTGTGTGCTGCATACCGCTAAACAATTCCACAAGCCAATAGAGCACCGTCTTGGCCACAGTCAACGAAGCTGCTGTAAATCCCACGAGGTTGGCCTGTCCAGTCTTTGTCAAGGGTCGATAGGTGATCATCCCAAGGTATGCAAAGTTCAATGCTGACTCGACCAAGTTCATGAAAGCTTAATCCCAAGTTAATATGATGGTATCCGAAAAAGCTCCTCCTTTACACGATGCATTTACCTTGTGCACTAGTAAATCCATCCTGCGCTTCAAGAGCTTCAATGCCATAGAACGTATCAATCTACACGGGGTTGTTTAGTAAGATGGATGCTAATCAAAGTTGTGTAGTACCTTGGCATACAAGTTGTAAGGTCGCCATATAGCGTTCCATTTGCCACCTTCCATGCTATGGGGTCTTTGTATATACATAAACGTTAATCCATGCTGATGGGTTCGTGTTGATATAGATATTGTACCTCGACAAACAGTAGCCAGCATCCTACATGCCGCAACATTCATTTGAGTACAAGAGATTCGAAGGGTTTTTGCGAATGGACTTACCCACAATACAACGAGCGAGCTAATGAGGAACCAGGCTTTGATCCAGAGGGGAGAGTTTGGAATGGTGCCGTGAGTCATGGTCATGGGTCGGAAACTGCTGGTGGAAAAGAACGCTCGTGCCTCCAATGAGTACAAGAGATCCAAATCAAAGGCTTTGTACGACCTCAATGCAAGGGATTTGCAGTGCTATTCAATCAAGATGCCTTCCATCCCCACAAAGCTGCAAGCTGCAAATGATGACAACAATGCCATTATCAACAACACGTGAAGAATCGGGAGACCAAAAGGAAAAGGGGGACATCATGAAGAAGGCCATTTTACCAATCATTGTGTACTAAAATAGTAAAGTCAAGAATAATGAAAGGGTAGAAATGATATTGTCTATGCGTGCTCTAGAACATGTTTTAACCCACGGTGATGAATGTCAACGTAGTGTCTATACCTATCTCTCTCTCACGTCGGGCTGACTACCCGAGGATCATGTTGACCACACATACGGTCTTTGTATAGTATGCTCCGCCTCATCTTGTTCATGACAAACGCGAACCAATCTGGGAACGCTGTGATTACGTTATATTTCATTATCGTGCAAAAGACCGATTATAGTGATGATATGATGATCTTAGAGATGGTATCCATTATAGGCGTCATTATCAGCTTGATTTGTTGATCTAGCCAGCGTACGTATAATATCAACAAGACGCTACTTGACGCTTCATGTCTTGTGCTGGTGGATGGTTGCATCCATGATTCTGGTTCTCTCCTTAAACTAATGTGGGAAAGCGAACAACTCATTATAGCGACATGAACTGCCATATACAGTGAACAAAGCTGAGTATGTCGCATCACCGTGGTAATAATGTGTGAGAAAGTAAAAGTCATTTAAAGAATGATGGTTGTATAAGCATCTATACAAGTGGATCCATTATGTATCCTTTCACTGCACATCAAGGTACGATTCATAAATCCGAGGATGACGGGTTTTCACATGCTCAATTGTTTATGACTGATGCTTGTACATGCGTCCACATGCGTTCACTTTTTATCAGCTCTGGCCGGGTATATTGTCTTTTTCGGAGTTGCGGACACACCGTACGATAAGAGAATGGGAGATATAGATCTTTTGTCATCCTTGAAATGATGGTGATGTAGATAAGAATATACCTAGATCAAAAGATGATGACATGGTAACAAGGAAGGGCAGCTTGTCATCATCAAGCCAACCATGTTATGCATGACGACACATGACGACGCATGATATTGATGGATGAATGGGTACTTAGTAGTAAAAGTGGTAGGATACTACAATGATTTGGTCGATCCAATTGCACACGTGAATTCCTTTAGTTGGGCGTTCAGGCCATGGGGCACGTTCGATACGTCAAAATAGCCAACCTATGTTGCGCAAAGTGTGAGAAAAAGCATGCAGTATAGGTTGCTTAAGTGACAAGGTTCGACCGGCGCCTGCATCTCGGAAACAAAAGGTCATGTGAAACAGCCATCGTGCTGCTAATTGCCATATGTGGAGAGTAGCCCACATTTATATCAGACATAGATCTTCAGGTCTCAACCCCTCTTTTTGACACACTCTCTCTCTTTCTCTTTTCAGTTAATCCCCTTTGATGATTGCTGTTATAGCGTAACTTTTTCCTCTTTACACATCGTATCCTATAAAAAAGAAAAGAAGAGAACCAACAACTACATCGACACCGGACATCCCATGTTTTTCTTTGTTTCCCGCAAGCAACTGTTTTACTCCAACGCCCAACCCAACAAGCCTTTCTTCGCCTATACCACTGACGAGCCTTCCACCTGCACTGTCAAGATACATCGCACTACACACGACTCTGGACAATAATAGAAAAAAGAAAAAGAACAAAAAAACAAAGATCAGCGAAACAACAGAAAACAGAAAAAAAAAGAAACATGACAACACAAAACGCTACCACCACTACCATGTTCCCCGCACACGAACCATTCATTCCTTTTGAATTTGCCCTGCCACCTACACAACAACAACAACAACCCAACATTGATGATCCATTCCTTCTTGACATGTGGCTATTGGATGAGTTGCAACGTGCTGGTGTCTTGACACCTGAATCAACAACATCAGCACAAACACCATCCTCATCATCATCCAACATGTCACCACCCCCCACAACGCCATCTGATACAACGCAATTGTTCCCTGCATCACCACCTTTGACACCTATCAAGGATGAACCTTCCTCCACTTCACCCTCATCGCCACCACCAACAACAACACCACAACATCGACGTTTGTGGCCTGTACCTATTATGCCAAAGACCACCACCACCATCATGCCTACCATTGCTCATGGTAACAACAGCAACAACCCAATGTCATCATCCTGCATGAAACGCAAGACCTCCCTTCTATCTCACGACTCATCTGAAGAATCAGAAGAAGTAGTACGTAAACGCCAACGTAATACGGATGCTGCACGTCGATCACGGATGAAAAAGATGCTCAAAATGGAAGCACTTGAGAACCGCGTCAACGAATTGGAGAATGATAATGCACGTCTTACAACACGCGTGGCTGTGCTAGAGTCTGAAAAGAATGGTCTTGAGACCAAGGATATCGATTTGCAGGAAAGGATCAAAGCACTAGAAGAACAACTGGCTGAGGCACATAAAGCCCTCACTGGTAAATGTGCTGCTCATTAGACATTGTACAAAGTAAAAAGCATTGTTAGAATAAAAAAAGAGGTTGGATGGTCTTGTATTTGATATGCAAAAGAATTATGCCGTAATGTATATAGTAGAGTAGACAACGAGGTGGGGTGGGGGCGAGGGCGTAAGGGAATGGAATGGGTTGGTGGTGTATGTGACGGATATATGTACAAAACGGATGTCACGATATAAAATGATAGTTGTTGTAGTCGTCGGGATATGGCAAGGATATGTGTGTCGGGCAACAAAGCCGATGTTTGTTTGTTTACTCAACATAGCCGTCGATAAACTCATTGATCGATTCCCACGTTTCTTCAACGATAGCAGGACCCGATGCTGCCATCACCATGCGTTTGTTGTTGGTGGGTCCTCGTGTCGATGTGGTGTTGGATGATGCGGTAGTAGAGGAGGTGGATGATGAAGGTGACATGGCAACAACACTGCCTGCACTGATGTTGCTTGTTGTCGATGGGGTGGGAGGTGCTGCTGTTGGATCGGCTGCAGGTTTTTGCCCAACCCATGTATACCAATTGAGATGGGATTGATACTTTTGGCATTCGAGCATGGCTTGACGCACCACTGTTTCGGTCATACCTTGTGGATGTTCAGGCAGCGTGGTGGCATTGCGAATAAGCGGATGCAATGTTTGATAAAAGGTTTCGATGTTTTGTGCATGAATTTGACCTAATTGGCCACCCCATCCAAGGGGAATGGTAACACGATCTTGATTCACATCAATGAATCCGCCACCTTGTGTCATAAGGAGTGTTGAAAGCTGATGGCAAAGTTGAAAATCCACATCATGTGAACGCATCGTTTGGTACACTATGTAAGGCATGTGTGAGTGAGTAAGAGATATACTGCTATGTGCCATATACACCACACATACATTTCTTGTTGAGCAATGCCTCGGTCAAAGGTCCCGGACGTTGTACACGGTATTCCACGTCAACAAGTTCCACAAATGCCGATGGTTTGAGGATGCGACTAATCTCTGAAAGCAGGTGGACGAGCTGGGCTTGGGTCAAGTTGCATAACATCAATCTCATATGAACGTAGTCGAACGAGTTATCAGGAAACGGCAAGTCTTTGAGAATGTTGTGATGAAGAAACTTTGCATTCTTGGGCTTTATGGTGTTGGGAAACATTGGCACCAAGTCAATGCCGTAGATCACTAAATGATGTAAGCAAATGTGTGAATGAATGAATAAGCTTTTGGTTATGGTATAATACCCATGGATAATTCCCGGGTTTATGTCCCATTGAAGTGGGTGCACACACAGCTACGTTACCTGTATTGGGAAAATCACTAGCCATTTCGAGCACCCTATTATTTTGTCCGAAGAAAAAGAATATCATTGATAAGATTTCTCAAAGCCATTCACATCTCTTGGATAGCTTGATTGAAACAAAACCTACCATGTGCCAGGTCCATTGCCGATATCCAAGACACGATGACGCCCTGGGCTCCCAAGTATGTCACTAATAGGGGCCTTAAAATTCCCACCAAATGCATACTTGAGCATGAAATGCTAAAAAAGATAGCCAAAGAAGTTAGTGTGTTGGATAAAAAAGTGATGGTTGATGGGGGCCGCGGTTATTGTAGCTGCAGCTGACTTTTTTCATACCATGATCACCAAGCGATCCGACTCCTCTTCGTCGCAGGGTAAAAAATAGCGTGCATCAGGATCGCAAAGATAACGGCGTTCATCGATAGTAGCGTATTCGAGCTTGAGATCTTTGTTTAATTGTTGTTGCTGTTGTTGTTGTTGTTGTTGCTTATCAGTCGATGCACCCAAAGAGGATAATAAAGTAGATGATCCTTCCGAGAATACTGATCCTTGGCCGTTGCTGATGCTTGTTGCTGTGGATCGTGGTACTCGTTTCTCGTTGTTGCTTACTCGACCGGATGAGTTGCTACTGCCAGATCGAGTGCTACTCTTATCGCTTGTTGTTGATGGCCGTTTTTTGGGTCGGCTTGCTGGTGCAGAGGGAGCTACAGCTGCTGCTTCGAAAAAGTTCATGTATGTTGGTGCCTGAGAGAGTCGTTGTTGTGCACGTGGTGATAAACTTGAGGATACAGCATCCGAAACAGGAGGTTGGGAAGGCGCGTTACCCATTGTTAACCTCTCAATATGGGAAGAGAGCGAGAGAGAGAAAGTTGATGTGGAAGAGAAGGGGGGGTGAATAATGAAATGAAACGAGTGGGGGATTTGATTAAAAAATAAAAGAAGGCGTGGGCACGGGTCGAATCGTAAAATGTCAAAAAAGAGAGAAGAGAGCAAACCAGAACAAGTCCAATCAAACAATCTACATTGAGAATTTATTCACAGATACCCTTCCGATCTGTACACAACACAATCCCAAATGGATGGATGAATGGGGTAACCATAATAAAGACAATGATAGTAGCGAGAGAGAGTGAGAGAGCGAGCGAGATAGAATCTTCCTCTTCCTCCTCTTATTACCAAGGGAAAAGCTTTGTTTGATGAGGCATGTGCCATCCAGTCACTTCAGCCATCGCTTGGAAGGTGTAGTCATAGTATCCCACTATATTGGTTTCAGCAAGATTAGTTTCAGGAGGATCTCTCGTTCAATGCACCATCAGTGTCAGCCACATTTTCTCCCTTACCATCGTTATGGCCAGCATATTCAAGTTGCACCAGGCGCACATTATCATGTTGGTACACTATGGCCTCGTTGGGTATGACACGTTTCGGGCTATTCTCGAGCCATTCAGACACCAATGTTTCTTGTTCTTGTGAACCTTGCACTGCACGGTGGAACAGCAAATGTGAATTATGGCCGGGGATTTCGAGGTCAGTGGCACCGTATACAATGAGGATGGGTGCTTGAACATGCTTTAAGTATATTTTTCCAAACACAAAGATTGATGAATGAGTAACCCATATTTTGCTCATGTGCTCAAATTCGTTTTACCTCAATGCGCGACGCTGAATCAAACTTGTGTTCCAGGTACTCAAGCATCCATTCTGTTGAAGGATCATCATTGTCAATTACCCTGCCATCTTTTCCTTCCAAAGGTCATGACTCACTTTGTGCTGCTGGGAAGGCTTGCAAGGGACCCAAAAGTGGTATGCTGTTGAAGATGCGATACTCAAAGATAAGATTTGGCAATGAGCTATAAGCTGCCTTGAGAATAAGAGTCTTGGGTGGTTTGCCTAATTACCATGGGCCGTGAGTTTGTGTTCATGTCTGTGCAACCCAGAAGCAATCGTCGTACTGATGGTGCTGTGGGCTTTTTCCTTTTTGTTTAATTTTCCTTACCCGCTGCTGTCATCTCGCTCGCTAATGTGGTTGCTACTCCAGTACCTAAACAAACGATGCCAAAGGTAAGCACAAGCTCCATGATTGCCATGTACATATCAAATCCATATACATTACCCAAAGAATGGCCAAGAAGAGTGATCTTTTGAGAAGGTACTACATACACATAATCGTATCATCAGTCATATCTTGTGTCGCAACATCCCTTCTCCTCTCCCCTCTCTCTTGTTATCCTTTTTCCCAATGATCGACAAGTTTCTTTACCATTTCTTTCCGCCAGCCAGTCAATAACAGCCTGAGCATCCAGTTTAAGTCCACTTTCCGAAGGATAGCCATCTATATACAGCGAATAAAACGTGTTACGGTTGCATCCTACCCTGCCACCCACGCAACTCAAAATAGGACAAACTTACCAGAATCGCCAAACCCTCGATAATCAATTGTGATGATATTCAAACGATCAAACTTGTCACTCAAACGCTAATAAAAGAAGATGGGATTAGCCCATTTGGATATCATGTACGCGTTTTCTTTGCTGTACCTTGTAAAGATCAATACGCCAAGGTGCGGCACGGTTCATGGCATTGCCGTGAAAGTATACAAGAGTCTCGAACTTGGGGTCGGACAATGCCTTCTCATACACCGATGTCTCTGGTACGCCTTGGATATCCCGCAAACCATGTTGCAAGTGATACGAGGATGGTAAAATGTGCCACGCGCCTTTTATAAAAACAAGGATACATTGGCATGAACACGTACGACATTGTTGCTCCCCCCCACCTCTCCCTCCCTTTTTTCTCTCTCTCTTACCAAGTGTGATGTTGTCTGAAGTCGTGATTTGAAAGTTTCTGATCTTGTTGTCTATGCATGCATGCATATTCGTGTAAGCGTGATGCTGCCTTTTTATGTTGCCAATCCATCCAATCCTTACGTGCAAAGCCATATGATTCAGGGATATGGAGACTTGAAGGTGTTTGAATCTTGTTGAGAAAGATCATACTGATACATGGTTAATCATCATATAGAAAACGCGTTGAAGAAAGCTTACAAACGCTGGGGACCTGGTAAGCAAAGCAAGCCCACGCATGCCTACATTGTTCAGTGAGCCATGTGCCAAGATGACGCTTGCTCCATTTCTATTGGTATGTACCGTATACAGCGCAACGATGGTGACCGTGGATAGAATGAGTTTCCTCAGCAATGCCATTTGCTTGAATGTGCGGAGAGAGAAGGGTCAAGACGAACGAGGACGCTGACCAATGTCAATAATGGTTCGTGTCACATTGTCTTCTGCCAGATTTCGGGCCGTGCGTCAACAACCAACCACATGTTTCATTCGCTATCTCCCCTACAAGATGAAGGGAACCATAACATTGGGCATGCGCCATTCTATAAACAGGAGGGTGGGAAGGATAAAAAGAACGAAATGAGAGAGGCTGAAATTAGAGATCTTTCACTGTGCTCTTTATGCAGGTGCATTGTTCTCAAAGCTAAAATGATACATAAGACGTTGATTTGGATGATTCTTGATATGTGATGATTCGTGAATAAAGGCATTCAGTTGATTTGGATGGATTTCATGTGCCCTATGTTGGCTTTTAGCTCCTGCTTTCCAGGACCAATGATGTTGTCATGTACATACATGGGCAGTAGCAGTAGTAGCAGTGTTTAATTGGAGTTCAGATATCACGACATGAATCCATTCATCAAGATTTTAACATGAGAATTAGGTACTTGAGCAGTAGCAAGATGATTAAGGTAAGTTGTCAAGTTTGATCCCAGTTATGGGTGATCTTAAAAAGGGCCGATCAAGGTAACCGAGGCTCGATAAAATTATACGTCGGCTAGGGAACGGTATTCTGATAGCTGCCATCAACCATGCATTACCATGCAGACCTTTGAAGCTACATTGTCTGTGCAACACGAATGCGTTGGGTTCGTTGTTATCTCCATGGTTACTGTGATACAAGAGAAGCTGCACAAGAGATAAACAATGGGTGATCCACATGATCATTGGATAGCATGGGACAATGACGACCAACAACAATGGGCTTATGACTTGTAAGCCACGTGTGTGTGTGCATTCAATCCATCCGATCTACAATAGCAACGATAGTGATAGTGGTAATGATGATAAAAGGATGATTTATTTGTATAATGTGGCATTAAGTATGTGGTGTGTGTGTGTATGTGTATAGTAAACTCGTGCAGTAAAGCGCCGAGCGCTTAAAATAAAGAGAGAGGGTAATATACATATATGCGTGTGGTGGTTGGGGGGGGTTAAGAATGAGATAATCCCATCTTGGTGCGGAGGAGAGAGAGACCAAAGCATGTTTGCAGCAGACCACCACCACCAACACACTTTGAATGACGACCATGCCGTGTCTGATCAGCAAGTAGAGACCATTACAGACATTGAACCATCCTATGAAGAACGGGTTAGCCCATCCTCAAGTTATCACCGTAGCAAATCCATCTCCCCCGTGGCTTCTTCCCATGCCAGTTCTGCTGCTGCTCCACCACCACAACAACCTACCACCACAAAGGCAATCAACACCACGCCTTCTCGTAGCGCCAGCATGAAGCAACGTCCTAAACCACGCAAGGTGATTGGCAATTATACGCTTGTCAGTACTCTGGGATCAGGCTCCATGGGCAAGGTCAAGCTGGCTATGCATAATATCACACAAGAGAAGGTCCGTTCCACGTGTATTGTGTTGTATTGTCTCCCACGAGGTACCTAATCAAATCATCTTTTTATAGCTTGCTGTCAAGATTGTACCTCGAACCTTTGCCAATGAGAAGAGTAGTAGCACCAAGGATAAGGATGAGAATCGAGAGATCAGAACCATACGAGAAGCTAGCATCATGTTGCTATTGTATCATCCATACATTGTCAGCCTCAAGGAGATGGTCGTGCTTGATCCATACTACTACTTGTTTATGGAATACGTCGGCGGTGGTCAATTGTTGGATTATATCATTTCCCATGGCAGGCTCAAGGAAAAACATGCTCGGCGTTTTGCACGTCAAATTGTCAGCGCTCTAGGTATGTCAATGGATGAAAGAAAGGAAGGACAATGACTAAAACCAAGGTATAGATTATTGTCACAGGAATTCTATCGTGCATCGAGGCAAGTTGGGAAACAAAGCAGTAAAAGGATGCTAGCTAACCTTTTGTCTATGCAGATTTGAAGATCGAGAATATCCTGATTTCCCAATCCGGCCATGTCAAAATCATCGACTTTGGTCTATCCAATCTCTTTTCTCCACGAGATCACCTTTCTACCTTTTGCGGTTCACTCTATTTTGCAGCACCGGAGCTTCTCAATGCAAAAGCGTACACAGGTCCAGAAGTCGATGTATGGAGTTTTGGCATTGTTTTATACGTCCTTGTGTGTGGAAAGGTGCCATTCGACGACCAAAGTATGCCAGCATTGCATGCTAAAATCAAACGAGGTCATGTTGAATATCCCAGCCATCTTAGTTCAGGTAAGCATGAAGAGGGATGCATTAGTGATGTGAATGTTAACATGCTATGTACGATATATAGAATGCAAGAATCTACTTTCACGGATGCTTGTGACCAATCCAAATCATCGTTGCACCATATCAGAGATCAGTGTACATCCATGGATGAATCGTGGTTATGATGGCCCTGTCGACAATCATTTGCCCGATCGAGCACCACTCATGTTGCCGGTGGATATGGAAGTGATTCGCAATATGACAGGCTTTGGATTTGGAACAGAAGCCGAGATCAAACAACAACTTGAGAATATTATCACCTCTGATGAATATCAAAAAGCAGCCAAGACACTTGCCAAACGAACGCGAGATCATCATCATCAACATCAACAGCATCATTATTTAACGTCTCGTCTTACGACACATTCACCTATACCCTCGAGCAAGAAATCGTATGCAATGCCAAATGACGATCCTCAATCCATACCCGCCGCTTATCACCCACTTGTATCCATTTATTACCTTGTCAAAGAACGCATGGAACGTGAGAGACGTGCTGCAACATCTTCGGATCCTGACAACCCACGAATATCTGTTAGCAGTACAGGCTCTTATGATAATGATGCAACAGCAGCAACAGGAATATCATCATCATCACCCACAGGTGCTTTCCGTGTCCCTGATATCCCGATGCCTGAGACAGCAGCCCATCCAGTGGACACACCAATTGAGCACACATTATTCGCACATAAGGATTCAATGTATTCTGGAAGAGGCACAACAACAGCAGGTGTCGCATTTGGTCGACGTGGACGTACGAACATTCGAGTGGATGAAGAGGGGCATATTATCCAAGCTGATAGACCCAACTTGTTGGAAAGTGGATTACAGCGTATCAAATCAAGGCGTAGTAAAGCTTCCGACAGCTCATTGATCGACGATGATAGCAGCAGCGAACATGGCAACAACGTATTCCGAAGACTGAGTCATGCATTACATCGATCATCCACTGAAAGGAAACGAGAACGTACAAGTGCTGAATTGAACGCTGCGATTGCACCCATTATGATCCCATCCACTTCCGACAAAGGCAAAACAACCCATCATCATCATCATCAAAGCAGCAATGAACATCATCAACATGGATCAAGTTTTGGAGACAAGGTTAGCCATTTACTTGGCAGAGCTGGCAGTGCCAATGCTCATGCAAATTCCACCAAACGACCCCATCCACAACGACGACCACGACAAGCAACAGTAACAGGTGCCAATCCTCTTATGGCCAATGAAGCTTCTCGTACAATTGCATCTGGCAAAGCACCTGCACAAGCATTACCACCTGAAATTGGTCAACAACAGCAACAACAACAACAAGCCAACACAGCTATAGAGACTCGAAAAAGCGACGACGTATCCAATAGAGAGAACAATGAACCTCCACCTCACAATCATGAACAAGCTTTCCCTGTGAGTGCCCATGGTGATAGCACATCAGCATCTCGAGGAACGGCCGATGAAACAGTGAAACAAGTATTCCTAAAGGGATTGTTTTCAGTCACCACAACATCCACCAAACATCCATCCGTGATTCGGGCTGATTTGATACGTGTACTGGAACGCATTGGTGTGAAGTGGCGAGAAAGTCGTGGCCGATTTGAATGTGTACATATGCCCAGCATTGATATGAAGCGTGTCAAAAAAGATGATGACAAGGTACCGGATGATTCAACTACAAGTGGTGGTGGTGTTGCTGCAACGTCTCATGTGACGGTGCCCGATTTGATTGTACGGTTTGAAATCTACATTGTCAAGGTATCCTGGCTACTGGGCATGCACGGACTACAATTTCGACGTGTTAGCGGGGATCCTTTTCTCTACAAGAACATTTGTAGTCGTATTTTAGCTGAACTTAAGCTTTAAAAGTATATATATAAATGTATAGTTCGTTGGTTGTTATTAAATTGGGTTTTGTGGGCTGCTACTACTACTGCTTCTTCTTCTAACGTTCCTCAAGCACAGCTCTACTTTCCTCACTTCTAATACCATTGACTGTGATGGGTCGTTTTTCAGCATGCTTAACAGAAGCGCCTTCTTCTTCAGATAACTGCTGAGCTAGTAAGGCTTCACCCAATTGCCGTCTTCGTTGTTCCTCCATTGTTGTTGTATGTTCTTGTGATGATGAATCCACCATCCACATAAATGTACTATCAGCGAGACGTGAAGAGGAAGCTGTGCTGGGTACAGGTGCATCCGTAATGAATGAAGATGTGCTATGTGATACAGCGCTTCGATTATTGAGGATGGCAGCAGTATTAGGAGGTGCCATAGCATTAGAGGACCGACGTGAAGAGTAATTGCCGCTTGATAAACGTGGAGCTGAAAACGTGGCATGCATCATAGGTGTCGTTGAATAAATGGATGAACCCGTATCCGTAGTAGTACTAACACCACGCATAACAGGTTGTTGTTGTTGATGATGTTCGTCGTCATGGTGATATGGATCATACCCAACAGGGTATATATCATGATGATGTTGTTGCTGATCATGTCGACGACGGCGGATACAAAGTGCTAAAAGGAATGCTGCCAGTGCTACAGCACCTATACTGAATACAGTGATAAGCGCAATCGCCCATCCAGGTAAAGATGAATGGTGACCACCACCTCCTGAGGAATCATCCAGTGATGGTAATTGGGGTCCTAATAGCAGTAACAAGAAGAAATCAGCATAGGGTAGTAATCCAATGAATGATGCTGGTGGGTGCGTAAGGGAAAGTTTGGGGGGAAATGAGAACAGGGATTGTATAGCAGCAACAGCAACAGCAGCAGCAGGAGAAGAAGGGAGATGATGTATAAAGATGAAGGTCAACAAGACTTACGTTCAATTGTGAAATTAAAAGGATGAGGGTATTGTGATTCTGGATTGGATAATTCTTTCAGCGGGTTCATGCCTGCTGGTAGGTAATAACCGTAAACGGGTGTGCGAGTCGTGTTGGGTGGAAACCATGAATTGTCAACTTGCACAGCAAGTGTACCATCCGCACGGCGAATGGAGGTCCAATTTTTGACGGGTTGATAAGCGTAGTTCTCCTTGTAATACAGGTAAAGGCTAAGGTATTCCTATGCGTATATCTAAGTATCCACTCAATTTGACATTTTTCATGAAGATGTCAACTTACAGATGTCACATAGAATGGATGGCTACAAAAAAGGGTCGTATGAGTATACAAGTCTTTCATGAACGAGTGTCGATAGTATAGAGCTACTTGCTTATAGTTCCAAACGAATTGATGCTGGGTGCCGTTTTTCCAAGTATCGGTTGGGATGGGTGAACAATAGGGTGATCCATTGCCTCTGTCATAGCATGGCCGCTCTAGTGAAATGGAAAGAATAATGGTGATGATGATGAGGTGGGTACATATGAAGAATATCGAGATGATGATGATGATGGTGATGGATACCTTCGTCTTCTTCCATTGTCGGTAAACAGCATCAAGGGAGAAAAAAAGCAAAAAAGTCTCGCCAGATATTTATTTTGGAAAAGGAGCAAAAGCAAAAGGGGAGTTCAGCAAGGGAAACCAGGGGCGATTGTGGAAAGACACCTGTGGGTTTGGTTTCCGAAAATGAAGATGAAGGAGGCATTGTGAATAAAAAGGGATGATATTGTTGCTGCTACTATCTATAACAACTATTGAATGAGGATGATCAGCAGCAGCAGCAGTAGTAGTAGTAAGCTAACATCAATTGACATGTGGCATTCGATTTATGTCATGTGGTCCCCTCAACAAAGTTGCAGTTTATGCTTGCAAGTGCAACTAGCATATGCTGATCTCCCATGTGCGGGTATGTATTTGCCTTGCATCGTTGTTGTTGCCGATCCTTTGAGTGTTTGTGTTTGTGTGCAGGTGTCACAAAAGTGGTAAGAATGTCTTTATTAGCTCTCTTTGTGTCGTTTATTGATGTCTCATTGTCTATTGGTGGTGATGAGGGGGAGAGGTGATGGAGGAGGAATGCATGTGACAAGCCATGTTGTCATCATTATCCATGCACGCGCGTGCTGGTGGCTATTCATCAAAGCTTTTCTTTCCAATATGGATTACCCCGTTGACGTTGGTATCCTCGCGTCTTACTTTGGTTTCATTGCCCTTTTGCTATGGCGTATTTCTCCAACTCTTTTTCAAGCTTTTCAACATAAACAACACGTTGGCTCTCTCATCTTTGGCATTGGAGCTCTCTTGTCTCTACTCGCGACATGGACCTACATGATCAAGTATTTTATTTACAGCTACAACGAATGGCAAGCTGGAACGCGTGAATCCTTCTCGTTGAATGCCGTTTCCCATTGGCTCCACAGCGTCTCCCTCTTTGACGATGCTTGGCGAACTGTCAGTTTGGGTGATTGGCCTTGGCTCTTTAGTCATCGACTATGTCTCTTTACAGTGGGCACTTGGACACCTTTCCTTGCATTGGAAGGTAAGGGATAATGATATCATTGGGGTGATGGATGGTATAACAAGGAGGCTGATGAGATTGCATATATAGGCTCTCGTCGTCATATTCCATACGCCTGGGCATTCATGTTGCTTGGACAAGTGGTTGCCATCTCGACATCAAGTGCACTCTTCTTTGCAGTGGTCTTGGCTTATGGTAAAACGGATCGTGCATCGCTTCCATCACCTGTTGTTCTTTTGGTGTGCGTTTGGGTTGGCATGGCAACTGTTGTGGCATCTCCTTTTGTGGCCGATACAATCTGGTTCTTGCCCAATCTACTTGTCATGCATGGTGTGCTCATTATCCCTCTCTTTGAACTATTCACTGGCAAATTCAAACTCGGCCATACTCAACGCTCCATCGCCATCACCGCTATCTACATCACTGCTGCCGCTTGCAGTTTTGCTGTCACCCTCCAACATTGGTTTACTTGCTTACGTGGTCTCGTGGATACGGATCAACCCTTGTCATCGGTCCCCTGGTTCCTCATTGCCACCTTCTTCCGTCACCCTGCACAATCCAGTATCAGCTCAGATGTGGTCGCTGTTGATCTCTTATGCAGCCTTTGGATGGTGGTGGATCGCATGAGATATAATGGAAAAATCCCAAAGTGGACCGTGGCATTGATGTTGCTTACACCAAGTCTATCAGCATCGGTCACTTTTCCCGTTTTCTTGGCTGCAATCGAGTATCAGGATACATTGATGGATAAGAACAAAAGCACATAGCATGATTACTCTTTTATTGTACTATTCCCCCACCAAGCTCGATTGAATTCCCCCCATTGCTAATATCAACAATATATATCTCTACGATTGAATTATTGTGTATAAAACATTGTTGACGAGGAACTGCTGTATTACAAGCAGGAATCTTTTTATTACAGCAAGACACCATGTCAATAGCCAACATTTGTAGTCTTGGTATCCCAACTTACCCAACCCTGTTTTCCACACCTACTATTACAAGCATTCTATACATTGTGCCTAAATATAACAACGCCATGCCCATGTCCGATTGAGTGGAATGTCAGTAATGAGGTGTATGCGTCTGCGTGTAAGCGTGCGCGCGTGTGTGGTGGTGGTGGTGGTGGTGGTTGTAGGGGCGGGGATTCGAAATGGGGGTTGGCTGCGGTGCGCAGCTATAAAATAGCCCTCTTTTCCTCTTCTCTTCTTCACGCTTCTCTCACCTCTTTTTTTCTTTTTGTAAGTTGTGCTTTCCCACTTGCTTTTCAGACGTGTCTTTCATTCACTTTATGCCTTTAGCTCATAGGAACAAGGCCGGGTTGGGCTATGATGATTAAATATTAGTGCACTGTGATAGCACCATGAGCTAAAAACAACACGCCGATCTGAGCCTCTGCATCAAGTTGACCTGATACAAGAAACTTTTACAAGGACAAGCTATTGTTTTAGACTAGTATATGCATTGTTGTTTATTTAAAGTAGTAACGTTGTTGGGTATCCTGTTCTAAAAGCTATAAAGACCTCTCGTACTTCTCTATTCTCATTGTGATCTTCCACACCTTCTTTGTCTTTAACTTGCGTTCACATGTCAAACGTTCTAACAATCGCGCTTCTAACTTGCGATCGGGACTCGTTGCAATGGCAGCGATCGGTTGAGTTTTGGAATTGCTACACCAGATCTCGTTTGAAATCGTCTACAAGACTACCTCAATGGAAGAGGCACATGCGTTAAGTGATTTGCAACAAAGATACACTAAGGTGTTCCCGGTTACCGTCAAGGTATTTCACTCGGTGTCCACAAAACACAAGTCGTTCTTGTATCCTCTTCTCCCCAGTCAAGGACACTGGTGGTGTACGCGACAAAGGAAACTGTGGATCCTCAGCATTGCACCTTGATCGATGGAAGTGGCTCTTTATGATAGGGATAAACGTATCATGTATTATCAATAGCTATGGTTGCGAAGAAGGAATAAAGTATGAGATTTCAGGAACATCATCATTGTTGGCATGGATACCAACGACGGCTGTATCTCAGCAACAATCGCTTGGATAGATATGCAATCAAATGCCCCATCTTATCCTCGTATTGATTGAAAGGATTCCAAGACAATGATTCACGGTCGTGCTGCATGATGAAAACGAGGATTGATGGTAGATGTCAAAAGTAAACGGATCGCGGAGATGAAATTGGACGTGCACAGACCATTTCCCCACACACGGACGTTGCTGCATGTTTCACATGCTAAAGCTGCACGACCAAGCTATGATGGATTTGATTGTCACTCGAACAACATGCTTGGCGTTTAAAAAACTAATATTGTAGCTTGTGATTTTAACCTTTGTTGCAAAAACCAATGATGATGATGATGATGGTGTGCTCAACGGCTGCCTTGGATGGTTAAGAGACTACGCGTAAAGAATGGGACATTTTATTCATTCGACCGCACACACGTACACTCATACGTCGAATGCAACCATTATCACGAGTAAACATTGGGTAAAACTAATCAAATGCTAAATGCAAATCCTATCACTTATTGGGATACGTCGCTCCAGTCATTTCTAGACCAATCCACCATTCGTCATCCATTGATAGGTTTAACGCGAAATCCATAAGCGAACGATCAAGTTCCAGTGGCCATCACTGCTTCCGCTTGAATTCCTCTTATCGCCTTTCCTTATTTACTCATCTGTCGACGTGATCTCGTGAGCATGTATCAATGCTTGTCATCGGTATCCATGGTTCCTTGTTCGTTGCTACCATCTTCCGTCACCATCAATGCACGCATAATCAAGTATCAACCCAGATGTGGTGGCTGTGGATCTCTTATGTAGCCTTTGGTGGTCGTGGAATTCGAGAGGTACAAAGGGAAAAATCCTAACGTGGGCCGGATCTTGATGTTGCTCATGGCTGTTTCGGAATTGGTGAGGCGATGTATCAAACGCAAATAGTTGTGGTCTTCGCGTATCCAGCCTACCCAACCTATTTTTCCTGCCTAATATACAAGCATTGTATAAATAGTACCCACACACAACAACGCCCATATTATGTCCAGATAAGGTAGGATGTCAGTAATCGAGTGTATGCGTGTAAGCGTGTGCGTGTGTGCAAGCGTGCGCGTGTGTGTGAGGTGGGGGAGGTTGTGGGGGCGGGGATTCGAAATGGAGGTTGACTGCGGTACGCAGCTATAAAATGGCCCTCTTTTCCGCTCTTCTCTTCTTCACGCTCCTCTCACCTCTTTTTTTTCTTTTTGTAAGTTGTGCTTTCCCACTTCTCGTAATGTCTTTCACTCACTTTATGTCTTTAGCTCATAGGAACAAGGACAAGGTTTCAACGACGTATGGCGCCGGTTTAGGCAATGATGATAACGTGTACCCACTGATTATTATCCCATGAGTGACATTAGCGGTCTTTTCTGAGCCTCTACAAGAAAAACCCCCAGGACATAGCTATTGCTTTAGACTAGTCATTGTTGTTTATTTAAAGTAGTAACATTGTTGGGTATCCTGTTTTAAAAGCTATAAAGACGTCTCGTACTTCTCTATTCTCATTGTGATCTTCCACACTTTCTTTGTCTTTAACTTGCGTTCACATGTCAAACGTTCTAACAATCGCGCTTCTAACTTGCGATCGGGGCTCGTTGCAATGGCAGCGATCGGTTTACTATTGGAATTGCTACTCCAGATCTCGCTTGAAATCGTCTACAGAGACTACCTCAATGGAAGAGGCACATGCGTTAAGTGATTTGCAACAAAGGTACAAATAAGGTGTTCCCGGTTACCGTCAAGGTATTTCACTCGGTGTCCACAGAGCACAAGTCGTTCTCGTGTCCTCCTCTCTCCAGTCAAGGACATTGGTGGTGTATCCGGCAAAGGAAGCTATGGATCCTCAGCATTGCAACTTGATCGATGGAAGTAGTTCTTTTGGATAGGGATAAAACGTATCATGTATTATCAATAGCTATGGTTCTGAAGAAGAATAAAATATGAGGTTTCAGGAACGACGTTGGCATGGATATACTAAGCGACGGCTGTATCTTAGCAACACTCGCTCGCATCAACATGCAATCAAAGCTCCATACTATCACGTATCACCTTATCAATACAATGATTAAAAGACAATGAATCATGGTCATGTTGTACAATGAAAGCGAGGATTGATGGTGGATGTCAAAAGTAAGGTTATTCGCGGAGATGAAAATTGGGATGTGCACAGACCATTTCCCCACACGGACGTTGCTGCATGTTTCACATGCTAAAGTTGCACGACCAAGCTATGATGGATTCAAATACCATCCGAACAACATGCTTGGTGTTTAAAAGGCTAACATTGTAGCTTGTGATTTTAACCTTTGTTACAGCAAGCAATGATGATGATGATGATGATGATGATGATGATGATGATGGTGTGCTCAACGGCTGTCTTGGATGGTTAAAAAGAGACTAGCATAGATGTAACGAATGGGACATTTTATTCATTCGACCGCACACACGTACACTCATACGTCGAATGCAACCATTATCACGAGTAAACATTGATAACACTAGTCGAAGTATCATAGGATGCCAAATGAAATACCTATCACCTATTAATATACGTTGCCCCAGCCATTTGTAGATCAATCCACCACCATACGTCATCCATTGATAGGTTTAACGCGAAATCCACAAGCGAACATTCAAGTTCCAGTGGCCATCACTGCTTCCGCTTGAATTCTTTCTAACACTCTTCTGTATTTGCTCATCTGTCTATGTGATCTCATGGATAGGTATCAATCCTTGACATCGGTATCCATGGTTCCTTGTTCGTTGCCACCATCTTCCGTCACCTTCATGCATAATCAAGTATCAACCCAGATGTGGTGGCTGTGGATCTCTTATGTAGCCTTTGGTGGTCGTGGAATCTAAGAGATACAAAGGGAAAATCCTAACGTGGGCCGAGTCTTGATGTTGCTCACAGTATTACAGGTGTAGTGAGGTGACCTGTCAAACACCAATAGTTGTAGTTGGTATCCCGCACACCCTATTTTCCACACCTAATATTACAAGCATTGTATAAATAGTACCCACACACAACAACGCCATGTCCATGTTCGATCGAGTGGAATGTCAGTAATGAGGTGTATGC